TAAAAATTGATGATGCCAACAATGACTCATTGGATTTTTTTTATAGGATGGGACTGTCTGAGGGAAATATGTCTGCATTATTAAATAGTTTACTTGTTAATTACGACAACAGGCTACGACCCAACTTTGGAGGTAAATTTAAGTCATGCTGCTATGCCCTTTCTGTGCTGCATCACCTGTAGTCTACTAATGAAATTCCCAAAACATAGATCTTAATTGATTATTACTGCGATAAGAATTTTATACTTGTCTTTTGTTGATGTTTATCTTGCTTTTTTTTCCAGGAAAACATGTCGTTGTTACTGTTGGTTTTTGGATTTTATCAATCGATGAAATAAATGTTATGGATATGGTGAGTCGAGATTTTAACCTCATCCCCAGGGTCTCTCCTCTTTGTTAGGAAAAGGACCTGGTAACGAGGCCACTGACATATGCCGTTTCATTGTTGATTTTCGGCTAGTCCAACTGTTAAGTTGGTATCTTTTACATAACTTAACTTTCGTTCACTGGGGGACTAATTATACAACTATTCAAATGCTTTTTTATTTAGTATTCCGACGTCTCTCTCTGTCTTCCTCACTCTCTATCCTTTCTTTTGTCCCCAGCTCTCCTCAACACCTCCCCTTACTCTATAGTTCGTTGGCTGTCGCATTCCTTTCGCTATATACTCCAGTTTCTAATTTTCCATCWGAAAGATCAATTTTGTTKTCTTTCWTCACGAAKTCCATGCGCCTTTKMGGGAAATCAATGAGACAAAAGAACATGTTGCTTGGTTTTGGGGATAATAAAGTGTAAAAGAGATTGCTAGAAGGAATTACTGCTACTGACTAAAAGTGCTTTCTGTCGCAGGATTACAGAATGGATTTTTTCCTTCGTCAATTATGGCATGATCCTCGATTAAAGCACTCTTTCAATGGGACCTTAGCTTTAGGAAACTACATGATGGATAAGATTTGGGTCCCTGATACGTATTTTGAGAATTCAAAGAGCTCAAGCTTTCATAAAGTCACGACGGTGAACAAAATGTTGACTATAACATCAAATGGGGATGTTCATTATAATTCAAGGTGAGTTCGAAGTGAATCAACCAAATATTTGACTTAAACTCTTTTTTGTATCCCGAGTATCAGTAATTTATCCGTAATTACAGCGCCATCTTGAAAGGTAACCGTGCCTTCATTTGCAATCTGCGACGGTTGAGCTTAGAGCATCTTTATCTATCAAAGTAAGATAAATCGCTTCTTACTTTGTTTTTTTTTACTTTGACAATGGTGCTGCTACTTCAAAAGTGAACTCTATATTGTCCACACGTCGTTTTTTCTAAGAAGATGCATGAGGTCAACTGCACGGGTGTTCCATTGAACTAGAAAAAAAAGTTCCCAGCATGTCTCAAAGAATAAACTAATAATTGTATCAATAAAAGCGTTATAATAACATTACTTGGTCAATTTTGTAGGATAACGGCCACAGCCAGCTGTCCTATGGATTTACGAATGTTCCCTATCGATATCCAAGAATGTGGACTAAACATAGAAAGTTGTAAGTTTTTTCACTATACTTACTTAYTAGTAATATATCATTATGTATATCTATAGTTCCAACAACGATTTTTTCTTCGCTCTAATTGGTCGAGAGTSGACCACTTGACGCGATAGTGTCCGCGCGAGGGCTAATATCTCAGGCATTTTGCTGTGATAGTTGCTCTTGGAAATCAACTGCATGGATGTCCCGAAAAATTTAAAAGTCACTATATTTTCTTTTCTGAACATCCAGGTTCCGCGGGCAACTATCGCAGCATAATGCCCTCGATTGAAGAACTATATACTATGTTTAAAGTAAAATAGCATAGCAAATTAAGATGGTGGGCGTGGGACATGGAATTCTTTGATTTATTTTCAAACCTCTTTTCTTTTATTAAATTACAAAAAAATTAGTTATTTAATTTGTTTTGTTTTCATGAGCTACAAGGGGCCTGCGTGTTTAGTTGGTCGCATTTCATCATTTTTTGCAGATGGTTACAATGCCGATGAAATGGTGTATAAATGGGAGGATAGAATTGACAATGGTATTGCTGTGAACAAGAAAACACGTGATATGCCGCAATACAACTTGACAAAAATAACAGCAAAACGCATCTTTACGATGTATTTTTCAGGTGAGCAAGAAAACGGAATATGTTAGCTCTTTCGTGGAAAATGACAGTTTTCAGTTATGACAAATAACAAGTGTAAGGCGCCAAATCATGATATAGAAATGAAGAAATGTTTTAGTTCTTAGAAGTAGGTAATTCCGGGAGAAGGACACTTAGAAATAAATTCGGAAAAATTGATTTCCGACCTCGCTTGGATTCGAAACCACGACCCCGCATTTGTACTACCGATGCTCTACAAGCTGAGCTATACCAGGAATCAGCTTTATGAATCCACTGAAAGAATCTGAAAAATTAGAAATCGGTGTCGGATCACCCCACTATCGAACATTTTGGACAAATTTCCCACCCCAAGAAATTGTATGATGCTTGCACGTATTGCCTGTTGACAGAGTCTCTCTCGTTGTGTTTCCCACGAGTAATCGAGAGTAATCCATACCAAAAATACTGACATGTATATACATTATCTTCATTTTTCAGGCAACTGGTCTCGTCTGTCTGCACATTTCCAGTTCCAACGTCGATCTGGATATTTCTTTATTCATATTTATGGACCATGTGCTTTAATCGTAATTATATCGTGGATATCGTTCTGTATTCCACCCGAATCGACGGCAGCGAGAATAGCACTGGGAATTACATCAGTACTGACAATAACAACAATTTTAAACATGTTAAATAACTCAATGCCTAAGGTAAGTTAAATTAGGAACTCTAGTAAAGTTATTGAAAACAAGGTACAAAATGGAAAGTATAAGGTGTCATCTGATTTTCTATCTACTCTATATCTGGGACTATCTGGGACTATCTGGGACTATCTGGGACTATCTGGGACTCAATATCATATAGTACCCGGTCACATATCACGATAGAGTACTTGACATACTAAATGTCTTCTCTTACATGGAAAACTCTTGTTTTTATGCATGAGCTCCTTAATTGGGCTATCTGACGTACATAGATTTTTTYTGAAAAATCATGGTGCATTGTGGTCTAGATTCAGTACAAACGACGCCATATTTGGCAGCATGAACAAAAGATCTTTGTACCAAATCTAGACCACAATGCAATGCAAACTSGCATCTCAGAAAAGGCCGTTACAAGTGAATGCAATAGACAACTGTGATTGGACTACTAGTTTATCCAGAAAGATGGCGTCTTATGATTGTATATTCAAAATGGCAGCCATCATCGACTTCAATCAATCAATCAATCAATCAATCAATCAATCAATCAATCAATCAATCAATCTTTATTTATTCATATCCAATATTCATCTAATTTACAAAATATTTTGATTCTAATGTAATGATATGAATAGGTACCTAGAAAAAGCAATAAATGCTTATTGCTATAGGCACCTCTCTTCATTTATCAATCTATTTCTGACAAAATGATTCATATCTTTCTTTGGCGTCGTCACACAGGTTGCTTATGTTAAAGCCATCGACTGGTATCTTATCGGATGTTTTCTGTTTGTATTTGGAGTGTTATTTGAATACACACTAGTGCTGTACATAGACAACGTACACAATAGAAGACATAGACGACGAATGAAAAAACGTAAGAAGGTGAGTACCATCTTGTGTATAAGTAATGTGGGGCCACAGATTGCAGGCCCTGAACTTGTGACCACACTCTCAAGTAAAAAATAAYAAGGGGCMCTTCTGTTGGCCCAGAATCTATAAAAAGGCGGGCGGTTAGATATGTTTGTATTTTGTCAGGGTACTGTTTAACTTCTGCTCCGCTGTTTTGTTGATTTAAATCTAATTTTTCTTTTTCTCTGTTGTTGCTTTGGTGACCACAGTAGCATGTATGCATTTTCCGATTTTGCTTTACTCATAGAGGCTGTACAAAATTTTAGAGATTAATCAGTTAGAATCATTCAAGAGGATGTCACAGGACGTTTATTAAGGAGAGGATAGTCCGAATAGATTAATCATATTTTAATGGACTATTTAGTGTGTTTCTCATATCAATTATATTGTCATTTCGGCTTGGATATTTTAGAAATTTTAGATAATATTGYAGGAAAAAAACAAATTTTGRGGATRCCGTTGCCAAGGTACACCGATTGAAGAAAACGTGACATTTTTTTAAAACATTTCCATCTACTTTATCGTATATATCGGTACTAGTCAAATAACGACACCCGTCAACTAAGTTTTGCATTCACCGAAAAAAGCGGGAAAAGAAATGAGGCCTTTAGTCATATTGTATGTTTATTGCATTTGATTATTTCTTATCTTTTCGATCTTATAATAATTTTTTCAAGTTGTTGTATAAAGCTACAGAAAGGTATTACAAGCGATCCTATTGTTCTAACCTGATTGGCTGAAGAACTCATGCATTGCTAATGAGCTTTGCAAAGCAATGACAAAAGAACAAAATTTCAATTAGATTATTTACTAGGCACGAAGGCCTGTACACGGCTTGTTTTTTCATCCTAATTACAAAGAAAACTTTTATTTTATAATTACCAAAGAGATATAACATATTTTTGGTACTGACATAGGATATTAAAGTGAAGGTTTTGAAATATGATACGAAGTCTTTTGCAATATTTCTGGTCAGAAAACATCACTTTTCAAGGTTGACATCTATTTAGACTCCTTGTCATCTTAATTTGTTCAAAACAAAAGAATTAAGAACAAAAGGATAGGAGTCTTTGTTTATATACATTAAAAACGCCTCTCCGATAGACCAAGTGGTCAGATGGCAAGCCGTGATCGTATAGTGGTTAGTACATTGCGTTGTGGCCGCAATAACCCAGGTTCGAATCCTGGTCACGGCATATTTTTTTTTTCATTTGTTTTTTCAACATTCACATTAATTTTCTCTTTTTTTCTTCCCTTTGGCTGCTTTGGGTATCATCAGACAATATCAAAAGATATGTGAAATTCTGTAACAAGCTTTTTTTGAAGTAATACTAATAGGTTTTTAGCACTTCATGATGAACAGGCTACGTTTACATGTGGGGTCTCTTGTTTCTTTTTGGCGACCAAACTTAGTTTAACTTAGTGAATTAATATAGTTTTGAATTAGGGTGGATTTTAGATTTCTTTGGAATAAACTAGAAATAATATCAGCGAAAAATCATATATTCATCTTAAATTTCATCTACATTCCTCTCGGATAAATTCAACCAGGGACGTGGTTCAACTCATCACGTCTAGTCGAGAAGTCGCTTTCCTAAGATTCCGAAAAATATTGTTAAGTTAGATAGCATGATTTAACGCCAGAATGCTCGAGGATTTTTGTTGACGTTGTTGTTGTTTTGCTATATTGATAAAGTATAAAAGAAGCCCTACACTCACGAAAAATATTTTTCCCATACCGGGAGTCGAACCCGGGCCGCCTGGGTGAAAGCCAGGAATCCTAACCGCTAGACCATATGGGAATTCAATAACAATTTTCAATTCAACTGTTTTAGATTGACGACACAGATGAACTTGATGAATACAGACCACTTACAGAAGACTTTCAAACTCCGTCGACAAGAAACAGAAGTCACCAAAATGGCCACTGCCATCAAAATGGAGGATTACCGAATGGATTTCAATCAGTAAGCTATTGATTTAGTATAAAAATATATATACCCAAAAAAATATTCAGCGTAATAAAAGCTGATCATTCATTAGCCTGAGTAGCCAAGCGGTCCTAGCTTCTCCGATAGAGTTTTGCATTTTGACGGAGAATTTTACGTCGTAGCGAAGAGATGAGATTTGTAGGGCCATGACCTTGCTCTCTGCTTCGGCTCGCCAGAAATTCGGGTTCGAAGCTATATTGCCAGTTTCTCCTAAACTCCAAGTCATAGCTAAAAACCCATACCTTTTTTTCACATTTCTACAGTCAAACCAGTACAGCACAGTTTATGTGAAACCAAGACAAAGAAAGGACACAGAGTTCGAGAAAAAACCCAACAAACCAAAAAGAAGTTTTCTATGTCGAATAACTTGTCGAGATTTAATCAATAGCGAGTGTTTAGATAGTTATTCTAGAGTTCTTTTTCCATTATCGTTTGCCGTTTTCAATGCTGTATATTGGCTTGTGTTTATGCAGTTCATAGTTGTTGAGGTATAGAATATATTTATAGTATAACTTATTTCTTATGGGTCTCCTTTCGCAGCCGTTATGAGACTCTTTCCCAAGTCCAACCTTAGACCTAGTAACGAGCCTCATAGCGTCTGCGAGAAAAGACTAGTGTTGCATAGGTCGATATATGAATTCCATTAAAAAATACATATAATTGTCAAGAGTAGTTTTCTTAAAATGTTTATTTTTGTCTTCTTGATCTATGACTGTAAATAAATTGCACGAATATTGTTTCACACTACTGTTGGGCGATCTAAAATTGCCCTTATTTGTTGGCGAATAAGGTGTGTTCCCAAATCCCTGGAACCCAGCTAGTTTATAACACWCTCTCTCTCTCTCGTTTTTAAAACTATAATATTATTTTTATTTTATGCCCGCAAGATATTATATTTCAGTATTCGTCGTAATTGGAGTTGAGATATCTCACACGACGACATTGCTCATTTCATCTCAGTACGCCGGCTAGCTTTGCTATTCTAATTTCTCCGGCAGTGCTGGTTCAGTTTTGATAAACAAATCGGGTATAATACAGATGTTTGCTAGTAATCATTTCCACGTACAAATAAGAATACCTGAAGTTACTTTGGACAAAGATAAATAAGAAGTTTTGCTGACTTTGAGAGAACAAGGAATATCTACATAAAATAAACAAGAATTGAAAGTCTGTTTCTTTCCCCAAAGCTTATTTTCACACCATCTACATTTGAACTAAAAAACTATTAATTCCATAAATTAATGTTGGTCTAAAGTGTTTGTTTGAATAGAAGTGTCCACTGTCTGCACCTTTGATAAAACGTAATTTTCAAGTTTGTTACTGCTCTGCTAATTTTTGAATGCAACGTTCAAGGCTAGGCATCGTTACTAGATTTTGAATTTTTCGTGATCCGCACAAGAATTTCGTCTTCGCATGTTAGGTTCGTTTGAGTTTGCGCTTCGCATTTCCTGGAGCTCAATGGTATTTCGTCGACTTGTTGAATGGTTTAGTACCTCTCCTCGACAAAATACTTTCCTCGCTGCTCCTCTGAAGTCAGACAGAAATATGATGTATATGCAAGGACTGAAACAGGAGTTGATAATAGGTAGAAAATACTTCACAATAATACGAAGAGACCTTAAGTCAATGCAGACCGATGAATTGGTCAAAATACCAGGTGCATCCTTTGGTAGAATGAAAGCGTCGAC